GCGATGGCGTAGGCTGCAGTGGGGCTGTCTGGCAGCCGGCGTGCACTTTCGTGAGCGGCCATCCAATGGCCAGGCAGCGACTGCTTCACCCGGGAAGAGCACAATGATAATACCAACATGGGCCAGTGAAGTAACATTCTCCACAACTAGACTGTAGAACAAAAGGACAGCAACTTGTCTGTTTCCCTTCCCTGATTTCCCAATGCTGTTCCCCTCCCCCAATTACCCAATTTAAAAAAAAAAAAACACAATCCTGGAGCTGAAAAATACAATAACTGAAAATGAAAACTTCAATGGAAGGATTCAAAGGCAAATTTGAGCAGAAAGAAGAAAGAATCAGTGAACTTGAAGATAGGATAATGGAAAGTATTGAGTTTGAGGATCAGAAATTAAACAGATTGGAGAAATATGAACAGAGCCTAAGGGAGCTGTGGGATACCATTGAGCAGACCAATTGTGGGAGTCCCAGAAAGAGGAGAGAGAGAAATGAGCAGAGAGGATATTTGAAGAAATGACTGAAAATTTCCCAAAGAAGCACAATTATCTTTAATAAGAGGACCTCAAGAGACCAACACTGAGACAATAATCAAACTTTTGAAAGATTAAGAAACTTGAAACCAGTGAGAGAAGTGAATCAAGGGATTCTAAATAAGATTTTCAGCAGATTTCTCATCAGAAACTTTGGAGGTCAGAAGGCAGTGGGCCAGTATATTCAGAGTGATAAAAAATTTAATCAAGGCTCCTATGTCTGGCAAGACCCTATGTCAAAAGTGAGGGAGAAATTAAGACAGTCTCACATAAAACCTGAGGGAGTTTGATCACTAGACCTGTCCTGCAAGAAATGCTCAAGGGAGAAATTGCAAGTTGAATGAAAGGACACTACATGGTAACTCAAAACTGTAGGGAGAAAAAAGATCTCATTAAAGGTAAGTACATAGGCAATTATAAAAGTTAATATTATTGTAATAATGGTTTATAACTATACTTTTTGTTTTCTACATGAGTTAAGATTCAAATACATTTAAAGAAAAAATTACTAGTGTAAAAGCTAGTTTTATTGTAACTTTAGTTTGTAACTCCAGATGTTTTCTACAAAATTTAGGAGACTAATGCATTTAAAAGAATTATTTATGTTTTGAGGCACACAGTGTATAAAGCTGTCATTTTGTGACATCAGCAATTGACGGGTGGAGGTGGAGCTGTAAAGGAGCATAGTTTTTGTATGTTATTGAAATTAAACTATGTAAGTTATTGAAGTATAAGATCAAATTAGAGTGTTACAACAATGTTAAATGTAATCCCCATGGTAACTATAAAGAAAATAGCTATAGAATATACAGAAAGGAAAATGAGAAAGGAATTTAAACATTTTACTATAAAAATAATCATCTAAAAACAAAATAATAGAGTAATCCAGGAAATTAGGGCCAAATAGTATAAGGCATATAGAAAACAAATAGCACAATGACAAAAGTAAGTCCCTTCTTTTCAATCATTAATTTAAGTGTAAGATTAAACTCTCCAATCAAAAGACAGAATTTGTAAGAATGGGTAAAAAACACATGATCCAACTATGTGCTGACTGCAGGAGACTCATTTGAGATGCAAAGACAAAAGTTGAAAGTGAAGGAATGAAAAAGATATTCTTTGCAAATAGTAACCAAAAGAGCATTGTTGGCTTTACTAACATCAGACCAAGACATTAAATCAAAGAAAGTTTACAAGAGAAGAAAAAAAGACATTATTTATTAATAAAAGGTGCAGTACAACAAGAAGATAACAATTATAAACATGCACCTAATGACACACCACTAATACCAGGGTTGCCAAAAAAATGTACATAAAGTCTGACAGTTAAGTTCATGTACTTGTTGCAGTGCTGTTGCTAACCTTTTTTGCTATCAGAGGGATTATTCATTAAGAATTTGTACCACCTGGACAAATAGTTAACCAAGTTTACTATTTGGAAGTGCTGAAAAGGCTTCATGAAAAGGTTAGACGACCTGAACTTTTCACCAACAATTCATGGCTCCTGCATCACAACAGTGCACCAGCTCACACAGCACTGTCTGTGAGGGAGTTTTTAGCCAGTGAACAAATAACTTTATTGGAACACCCTCCCTACTCACCTGATCTGGCCCCCAATGACTTCTTTCTTTACTCAAAGAGAAAGGAAATATTGAAAGGAAGACATTTTGGTGACATTCAGGACATAAAGTGTAATATGACGACAGCTCTGATGCCATTCCAGAAAAAAGAGTTCCAAAATTGCTTTGAGATGAGATATGTATCACTTTTTCTAGGATGAGTTCGCAAACTTAATTGTCAGTCCTCGTACACATAACTTGCATTCATCTCTTGTTATTGGCATATATTGAGTATTACAATTTTAATGTAGTTTTTTTCTTTTTTTTAAATGTATATACATTTTTTTGGCACCCTCTATATATGAAGCAAAAACTGGCAGAATTTAAGGGGAAAATATACTGTTCTATAATAATAGTGGCAGACTTCAGTGCCCAACTAATAATAATGGATAGAACAATCAGACATAAGCTAAGTAAAGAAATAGATTAGTGCACTGTGGATCCTGCACAGACTACATGGGAGTTGTTTAGACTTAAACATAGGAAAATCACATAGGTGCTCACCTGACTGATTCTTTGGTGGGGAGGATGCTTTCAGAGTCATTATTGGAAATCTTTTGTTTAAGGCTGGTCATTTTCTCCAAAGAGGAAATCTAGATTACAGTTAGGGGTGGTGTGGTGAAAACTGATTCCTTGACTGCTGGCATTCTGGGAGCCAGTTAGGAAGAGGGACTGTGGGTCCCTTTACTGTTTATGGACTTTTACTAATTTTTTTGTTTTCTCTCAGTGCCTCATGCCTGCCCTTTTCTGTTCCTGGTGTTCACAAGCTTAAATGGTCTCCAGTTCTGAGTTAACCTTTAGCCTCTGTGGTAGGGTGAACAATAGGTATCTGCTGTGTGAGTTGTAGAAAGAGCACTTAGATATCTCAGCAGTTTCATGCTTCATTTTTACCTTTTATTAATTGGGCAGTGTACTGAATTCCTCCAAATACTAGATTTCTTAGGTTCCCTGGGCAAATTGATTCTCTTGCATTCCCCACTCAGATGTTTCATTGTAACTTCTTCCACAGTGTGAAGTCAATTTTCACTTCTTCAGCCACTGTCTATCTAAAAATTTGTTGAAATCTCTTTGACAATTAGTCTGCTTTGGTGTTTTCTTTGTCTTTATGAATGAAAATGTGTATTTTCTTTGCCCTCATTTTAGCAGGGTTTTGGGAGAGTGAGGAAATAAATGTATGTGATTGATACACCATTATCAATTTCATAGGCTTAAGTCAATCACTATAATGGTTAAGAGTTCGGTCTAGATTTGAATCTTCACTGCTTACTGTGGTATTGCTCTGGGTTCTCTACTTAACCATGCAGTTTTATTTCTCATTTGTAAAAATGGAGCTTATGATATCTAATAAGAGAATTAGGGCGAGCCGAGTGGTGTGTTGGTTAAGAGCTGGCTTGGGACGCCAGAGGGCCCCGGTTCGGATCCCACATATGAGGGCCAATGACACTGCCCTCCACAGCTAAGATACTGAACAACAGCTCAACCTGGAGCTGGGCTGCCGTGGGTCACCGGCAATGGCGTAGGCTGCAGTCCCTGCGGCAGTGGGTTGCCATGGGCTGCCATGTGTGGCCGGCAGCCAGCGTGAGCAGCCAGCAGCCACAGTGAGCGGCCGTCCAGAAGCCGGCGACTGATCTGCCTTGCCCGGGAAGAGCGCAATGATGGTGCCAACTTGGGCCAGTGAAGCAACTTCCTCCACAACTAGACTGAAGAACAAAAGGACAGCAACTTGTCTGTTCCCCCTCCCCCAATTCTCCAGCACTGTTCCCATCCCCCAAGTCCCCAATAAAAATCTTTAAAAAAAAAGAAAGAATTAAATGAGATAGTGAATGCGAAGTTGTTAACCTACTACATGTATCGTGTATATTCAGTAATTGGCAATTGTTATAAGCTGTTAGGCTGACCTCTGGCTTTATTGTATTCTTTCCTCCCCATCAAAGATTTGAAATAAGCAAAATGTTTAATTTGTCTATCATTTAATATTTAGTTTCACAGGGGAGGGGTTACCATGACAACAAATATGAAATAATTTCAGAAATGTTTTATCTAAGTGTCTGTACTTAAAATGTTTCTGTATAATACTTTCAATGCACCTTGTTCAAAATTAAGTTGTGTTTTACAAGTTTTCCATTCAAGTTGACCCTTGAACAACGTGGGGATTAGGAAGACTAACCCACACGTAGTTAAAAATTCACATATAATTGTTGGCTTCCCAACAAGTTAACCACAGTACAGTTGTCCCTAGGTATCTGCAAGGGATTGATTCCAGGGCCCCTCTTCCACCCCCATGGATGCCTTGGATGCTCAAGTCCCTTATATATAGTCCCTTATATAAAATGGCCCAAAACAATACATACAATTGGCTTTCGCATCTGTGAATTCCCAACTGCAAATTGAAAATACTGTTTCTAATCCGAATTCAGTTGAATCTGCTGATACAAAACCCGGGGATACAGAGGGCCAACTGTATACTTATTGAAAAAAAATCTGCGTATAAGTGGACCCATACAGTTCAAACCTGTGTTGTTCAAGGGTCAGCTGTGATTGTAATTATGGCCCATATATGAAACAGAGTCTAAGGAAAGCAGATATTGTTTTAACTGTATAACTGTTTTGTGACCTTGATTCAGATACTTTGGTATAAAGAACTTCTAGATTTTTTTAAAACGAATTTTTAAAATACTACTTTTGATTATGAGAATTATTCTAGTACATTAGATTAAGAAATTACTTTTCTAGTTCTTTAGTATGTAAGATTGCACACTTAAATTCCTTTTATCCAGAAAGTTTAGTATAATAAAAGTGTTTACTTTAAGCTTATCCATGAATATAAATGAAAAATATTATTAATCATTTCAGGAAATTGCAAGACCTGATATGGCTGAAGGAGAAACAGAAACATCAAATTCTGGAAGGTAAATATGAGAAAAACTGACTCTCTTGAAATCCAAGTATATAAAATGACACTTGAGTTGCATTATTTCAGTTAATTGGTAAAGGACTATATTTTAATGGCTTTTAATAAAAAAATTTAAAAAATTTTAATACAACAAGAATATACTACAGATCCTTAGTTTGAAATACAATACCTTTATACATGTAGAGTAAATTTATAACTTGTTAAAATTTTTAAAAGTAAGTAAAATGTTAACAGATTTTAATTCCCCTATTAAATGCAAGCAGTTACAAGATGCTACAAGTTACAACATGGGGACAATTATTGCAAATAGGTAATTTTAAAATCTTTATTTTTTTTTAAGTATTTTTGGAAAACTTTAAAGTTAGTTCTGTGGTGACATCTCAACTTAAAATTTTCAAAATTTAGTTTTTGAAATGATTGGTTTTTAAAGTTTAATGCTTAGGTGGAACACTAAAGAACACAAGACATTTCACAATTTTTTATCATGAGAGAGACTCCAACATTTTAATTAGAACACTTTTCCAGATAAAGATAATTTTATTTTGTCTTTTCAATTGATTCCCCCATTTCTGTCTTTCTACTTACAGTAGGTTGCTTGTTAATCTGATGAGATTAATTAATCTATTGCCCCTAAAAAGCAAATTATGGGATAAGGCCTTATGCAGGTGTTAGTTGGACTTAACTAGAAAATTTATCTATCCCTTTCTTCACCTAGCATTTTTTCTAGAATCCTGGATGAGGGGGTTAACTAAAATTAAACTAAGGAGTTAGAAAAAGCATACCAGTCACTTCTATATTATTTAACGTTTTCTGTAAATTGTAGTTAGGCCAATAGGAGCTGAACAAAAATAACAATGATACAAATTTAAATGAGGATAATATATTTTTTGTAGATGATGTAATTGACCTGTAAGGGCCAAGAAAATGAGCTTAGAATCTTTTCTATATAGCAGTAACATGTATATAATGGACAAAAGAGTTAATTCACAATAACAATAAAAATGAGAAATACACAAGATCTAAATGAAAAACAAGAATTTACTGAAGTAGAAAATAATATATTAATAACGTGCATGATAGGCCACTTTCCAAATTAATTTATGGGTTAATGAACATTTAATTGAAAATTCCAGTGGGATTTGGTTTGGAAACTGACAAGTTTAAGATTCATATTTTCCTATTTATTAATACCATAATTTATTTAATTCTTTCCCTATTGTTAGATAATAGGTTGTTTCTATATGCACTATTTAAACATTGTTTTAATGAGCACCCTTGTACAAATATCTTTTGCATTTTTAAATGATTTAATTTTGGGAGAAGAGTAATATAGTAGTATATGATAGGCTACTTGCTCTGTTAGATAATGAAGTACATTGTTATTCTATAATTAAGACTGTATGGTACTGACCCAAGAATAGCCTAAGGACAAATTAGAACAAAATGCATAGCAAAGAAACAGCCTTATAAATTTAATTTAGTAAATCATAACTATTTGATAACGTTTTGATATTTGGGCAGTTCATTAAGGAAAAGTCTAAATTACAGGTGGATTAATGTAAGAAATAAGATATATAATCATGAAATTTATTTTTGGTAAAATAAGCATCGTTACATCTAGATAAGGGGCTGGAGATCCTCTTAAAAATCTTCTGTTTCTAGTGTTCTATTATTCATTAAATAGTTTCTGTTAACACTCCAGGGTAAGAGTAAACACAGACATGCACACACTCATCAACATATGTGTATGCAAACATACACATCTCTGTATGCATGTTGTATATTTACATATATTTTTCAAGGCATGTTTTTATGTCTTTTTTTAAATTAGGCTATTGAAAATTAAGGAAATATTTGTGAATGCTTTTCTGATTTTGCATAGGGAAAGACACGTTCTAACCATGAGAGTATATATAAATCATAAAAGAAAAAGTTTTTTCATATTTTTTATTCCTTATTTAAAGTATTCTCAGAAATTATTAAGAATACTTAAGTTTTAACTAGAAACAGGGCAGAATGTAAACAGATGAAAATGATAACCAGGACTGAAACCAGTTGATGGACTCCCCAGGTCTACTTTTGATATTTGACTCTGGAGTTTTTCACTTTCTTGCCCAGGAAAATGGTTGCCTCCTAAATTGTAACATCATGGCAAGGTCTGTGGACCTGGAGTTTTTTCCTTTTTGGTGGGCAAGTGTGCCTTGACTTTTTAAAAAAATTTACAGCATTTCTTTGTTTTGATAATGTTCAAAAACATTGTATTATGAAGGAATAGATAATGAGTGGCTTTATTTTTTCAGTAAACAAGATAAAACTTCTTCAGAGGAAGAAAAAAATGGATGTGATGCAAATGCATTTGAAGGCTCATCAGCAACAAAAAGTGAAGAAAGCACAATAGTTTCAGATAAGGAAAATGATACCTATCTTGAAGACAAGGAAACTGGCTCAAAGAATATCTCCAGTTGTGAATCAAATATTGGTGAAGATAAAGTAGAAAAGGAAAAACAAATAGAGCACATTTGTGAGGAAACGGAGTCGAAGACATGCCAAAGTTCAGAAAACATCATTTCATGTGATCAGATTAAAGATCACAACTCCAGTGAAGCTAGGCTTTCTTCGAAGAATATTAAGGATTTGCGGTTAACATCTGATGATGTTAGCATTGACCAGTTTTTGAGAAAAAGAGATGAACCTGAATCTGTTAGTTCTGATGTTAGTGAGCAAGGCAGTATTCATCTGGAACCTTTGACTCCATCAGAGGTACTTGAGTATGAAGCCACAGAGATTCTTCAGAAAGGTAGTGGTGACCCATCAGCCAAGACTGATGAAGTAGTGTCTGATCAAACAGATGACATTTCTGGAGAACATAGCCCTAGCACAACAGAGACAACAGTAGACCTGGCAGATGAAAAAAAGAAAGAAGTTGAAATTAGTTAAGTCATTCTAAGTTTTAGTGCACCAATGGTAAGAGCATTTGGAACAGCGCTATCAGGTGAGCTCAGTGGTGCTGTTGGAGAGTTCGGAAATAGAAAAATGTGAGAGAGGCCATTCATACACCTTACCTGTATGTTCAACCAAGTTATTAAAGAAATCAATTCACCAATAATAGCATGATTAGCATTATCAAGAGGTTTTAAAACATGAAAAGGATTTTAACGAAAGTTAAATTTATAATGGGAAAGCATTCATTTAACAGTTCTCACGAAAATGGAATTTGGTTGCCAATATGAATTGATTATTGGAATATTAGTTATATTTATAAAGCATTGAAATTTCCATCAGTCCTCAACTAAACATACTTATTACCTGTATATCCTTCTCAGTTAACTTAAAGGAAAAGATTTGGAAACCACATACCTTTTGGGAATAATTGATTTAAAACAATGTCTAATTGACATTGTTAATAGAGGCTTTATTTTGAGTATGATGCTGGTAAACGGAGCATGCTTAGACTGCTAAATTAATGAATCTAATGAGAATTTGGATGAACATAAACTTAATTTTGGATTTAATATAACATTCCAGACTGTCAGAAGCATGTAAACAGAATATTTGAATCCATGTACCTCCATACAAGTGTTAGCCTGCCAGGCTGTAAGCTTACCTTAATTAAACTTTCAGTGAAAGTGAAATTATTAAAATATAAATTTATATTTGTGCTTTTTGTCAGTGTGTAAGCTGTGCAGAAATCCCTTGATGTACTAGTTGTATAAAGCAGAAACCCATTGTTGAAACTGCTGTAGCTATTACTCTTTTAATATTGTTTTAATGATCTTTAGAAATAGGCCCATAAAAATGGTCTGGAAACCAAACCAAAGTATGGAATAATGTAGATACTGTAAAGCAGTAAACTGAAATCATGTTCTGGCATGAATTCAGTCATGTTTAAGCGACGTTTTCTTTAATTGTAAAATAGAAACTTCAGATGGGATGGGACCTAAAACAGTGATGTAAAAATTTGGTTTGGGATATTTAGTCTAATTTATCCATACGATGGCTGCTAAATTGATTTTTTCAGTTGTTTTTTATAATCTAGAAAATAATAGATCTAGAAATGAATAATATGAATTGCAGTCGTTTGCTTTGAAGTACTAATAAACTTTTATTTAAAATGCTACATTTTTACTTCTTAAAATGTGCTTTGAATTCTTAAATTTTGTTTCACTGAATGTTAAATGTCTTAAATGGCTATTAAAACTGCTGTACATAGTAGTTTTTGAGTAAATATTTGCAATAAAAATCTGTCCCTCAATAATTTTATTTTTCAGGAAAATGCTTGAGTTGGGTTACCTTTGGCGCCTTTAGAAACTATATTTGTTCAAGGAAATTTCATGTTAAACTTAGTGGTAGGATTTCATTCTGTATTCTTTAACTGATGCATGATTTATTTTAAATTACTCAAAGTACAGGGAAAATACTGCTAATATTTACAGAGACTAGATTTGCTTTATGAATTCTTTCATCCCAAGAGAAATATAATTTGATATTATAGTTTTTTATCTGCTGTAAATTAAAGAGGCTAAATGGGCAAAATATATTATCGACTTATTTTATTGACTATTTGGGGGCAGGGGTGCAAATATTTTTATCTTTCCTGCTCCCACAAAAAGATAGGGAGAGAGTAACCTATTAGCTGTCACTCTTCACCATGTTGAAACATAAATCTATAGCAGAGAAGATTTTAGGAGTAATTTAAATTTTAGAAGAACAGGGAATAGAAAAAAATATGTAAGGACCATGTTCTGAATCTCATTCAATTAGTTGCCAAATCTATGCTACAAAACCTCTAGAGCACTGTGCTACAATAAGTGACACTGTAATCCCTTTTGAGCTTTGGGTTGTTCTTATGCCCCTATGTACCTTTAGAGTAGTAACTCTCGAAGTAGCTGATCAATGAACTGTTTGTATCTATCCACGATGAGAAAAGAAGCCCGCACCAGACTGGAAGAACGTCATTGAGAAAGTCTAGCAGTGAAAACAGAAAAGCGGTTGAAATAAACATTGTACTTGGTAACATAATTGATTTATGTTCCCGCACAATAGCCTTATCTCATTTCTGGTCAGGAACAAAGGTATGCAAACCAAACATTTGAATAGCAATGCTTTAAAATCATGCTCTGCAAACTTTTTCTGTTATGGGGCCAAATACTAAATAATTGTGGGCCAGTGGTCACAGTGATTCAGGTCTTCCTTGTAGCATGAAAGCAGCTGTGTTTCAGTAAAACTTGATCACAAAAACAGATGGATTTGTTGGGTGGATTTGTCCCAGGCACAGTAGTTGGCCTACGTCTACTTCTGAGTGTTTAGACTCCCTTGACAAGACTGTGAAAACCAGTGATGTGTGTTAGTGACTGTTTGCCTAAGAACTAACTACCAAGGTGTCTTAGTATGTTATAGTTCCCTGTTACCTAGCAATAGAATTATGATGGAATAAAAGTGTAGTTCAGTGATATTAAGAAGAGTTATATTGATTTTGTGGGATGCACTTTTAATTTACATTGAAAATCTAAATGTTGTATTTATTTGTGCTATTTGTTCCCCTTTGCATCTCTCCAGTGTTTTAGGGAGGAAATTGGAATTGTTTACTCTTATAAAATTTTCAGGAACTATTCTAAACTTGTTTTAAAGGAACTGACAAGATATATGAGTTAACATTGCTTTGACTATAAGTAAAAAGATAGTTCACTTTATTATTCCTACAGTAATTATATGTATATGGAATGGAGAATTATATGTATATGGAACAGGAAGTGAGGAAATTTCACCTCAAAATGAGAGGTTAACTAATCATTTTATTAATACAAAAGAGCATGTAATTTAAAGATATACTTTACATAATGATTATGGAATTTTTAACATCGTTACATTTTTGCAGGCTTCTGTAATGTCATTTTTTGACTTCATGGTTGACAATCATTTTGTTACATCAAAATTGTCGCTCCAAGACCAGTCACTACCATCTTTAATGAAATAGAACTTTTGCATATGTGTATATATATAGGCACTAAAAAAGAACTGCAAGTGTTTCATTTTTACTAGACTACTGTAACACTAAGACTTGTTTTTTCTGCAAAAAATGAAACGTTTAGTTTATCTATTTCTAAGCCTTAAAAGAGAAAAACAATTATTTTTTAAGTTTTTTCTTTTAAATGAGGCACATATGCAGATTCATGTAGACAAAATGAATAGTCAAATAGATTTTTAAAAGTCAGTGTTTAATTTTCAACTTAAAAGCTATAAATTGAAACATACTTCACTCAGATCATCTTGTAAGGAATTAAACACATCTATAGTGACAACTGTAACAACATGGAGGGCTGAGGTAGCCTGGGTGAAATTACTTTTATTAGAGTTAACTAAAGGTAACTTTTAATTGCTTGTTAAAAGTATAAAAATCACCTTCATTATTTAAAAGAATATACCAAGCATAATATAGTTCTTTTTGATTGTTTAGGATGTCATCATTATGAAGATTATTGGATCAAGCTATAAATAAGACTGTAGCTGCAGATGTTAATAGCATGAATAACTGTTGACCACCAAGTCTACCTTGGATTTTGGTTTCCAGAAAATGCCCCAGGTACATCTGGGGTCATTTGACTTTTCCATAAAACAACAGAAAAATTCACTGCATTACTCAACCAATGCAACCTCTTTTTTTAAATTGAGGAATAATTAACATATTAGTTTCAGTTGTATAGTGTAATGATTTGATATTTGTATATATTGCAAAATGATCACCACAATAAGTCTAGCTTCTAACACCATACATAGTTACAATGTTTTTTCTTATGAGAACTTTCAAGATCTGCTCTCCTAGGTATTTTATCAGTTATTGTCACCATGCTGTATATTATATCCCTATGACTTATTCATTTAATAACTGGAAACTTGTACCTTTGACCCTTTTCAGTAATCCCCCAGCCTTCATGTCAGGCAACCACCAATCTGTTCTCTATATCCATGAGTTCAGGAATTTTGTTTGTTGTTTTTGTTTGTTTTAGATTCCACATATAAGTGAGGTCATATGGTATTTATCTTTCTCTTTCTGACTTATTTCACTTAGCATAATGCCCTCAAGATCTATTCATGTTGTTGCAGATGGCAAGATTTCACTCTTTAATGAGTGAATAACACCCCTGAGTGTGTGTGTGTGTTACATTTCCTTTAGCTATTCATCTATCAGTGGGCACTTAGGTTGTTTCCATGCCTTGTATATTGTAAGTAATGCTGCAATGAACGTGGGGGTCTATATATCCTTTTGAGTTTTAGTGTTTTCATTTTCCTCAGATAAATACCCAGAAGTGGAATTGCTGGGTCTTATGGTAATTCTATTTTTAATCTTTTGAGGAATCTCCACACTGTTTTCAATAGTGGTTATACCACTTTACATTCCCACCAGCAGTACACAAGGGTTCCCTTTTCTCCATATCCTCGCCAACACCTTTTTTTTGTCTTTTTGATAATAGCCATTCTAACAGGTGTGAGGTGATATTGTGGTTTTGATTTGCATTTCCATGATTAGTGATGTTGAGCATCTGTTCATGTACCTGTTGGCCATCAGTGTGTCTTCTTTGGAAAAATGTTTTTCAGATCCTCTTCCCATGTTTTAATTGGAATGTTTCGGGTTTTTGTTTGTTTTTTACTATTGAATTGCAGGAGTTCTTTATATTATATATTTTGGATATTAATTGCTTTTCAGACCTATCATTAGCAAATGTCTTCTCCCATTCAGTAGGTTGCCTTTTCATATTTTGGTGGTTTCCTTTGCTGTGCAGAAGCACTTTAGTTTGATGTAGCCCAATTTGTTAATTTTTGCTTTTGTTGCCTTTGCTTTCTGTTTCAAATAGAAAAAATCATCACCAATTTGATGTCAAGGAATTTACTGCCTATGTGTTCTTCTAGTTTTATGGCTTCAGCCTTACATTCAAGTGTTTAATCTATTTCGAGTTAATTTTTGTGTGTGGTGCAAGATAGTAGGCTAGTTTGATTCTTTTGCATGTGACTGTCCAGTTTTCCCAGCACCATCTATTGAAGAAACTGCTTTCCCTACTCTATATTCTTGTCTCTTTTGTTATAAATTAATTGAACATATATTCATGGATTTATTTTGGGGCTCTCTTCTGTTTCATTGATCTGTGTGTCTTTTTATACCGGTACCATACTGTTTTGATTACTGTAGCTTTGTGATAGAGTTTGAAATGAGGGAGTGTGATGCCTCCATATTTGTTCTTCTTTCTCAAGATTGCAAGATTGGCTCTTGGGGGCTTTTTTTTTTTTAACTATTTTTTAGAATGACTCTACCACCTAAATAATAAAGTAAAACATGCCATTTGTGGAGAATGGCATGTTTGGGAACTATAAGCTATAGTTTTAAACTTTTAAAATATTTTACCCACTGCCTTACAAACATAATATTAATTGCTCTGTATCGGGGGCTAGCAAACTGTGACCCCCAGTTGACCACCTTTTTCTAAACAAAATTTTCTTTGAAAGCAGCCAAGTTATTTGTTTATATATTGTCTGTTGTCATTTTTGGTTTTTTTTTAAGATTTTTATTGGGGAATTGGGGGAAGGGGAACAGACAAGTTGCTGTCCTTTTGTTTTTCAGCCTAGTTGTGGAGAACATTGCTTCACTGGCCCAAGTTGGCACCGTCATTGCGCTCTTCCCGGGCGAGGCAGATCAGTCGCCGGCTTCTGGACGGCCGCTCACTGTGGCTGCTGGCCGCTCATGCTGGCTGCTGGCTACACATGGCAGCCCATGGCAACCCACTGCCTCAGGGACTGCAGCCTATGCCATCGCCGGTGACCCACGGCAGCCCAGCTCCAGGTTGAGCTGTTGTTCAGCATCTTACTATATGTGGGATCCGAACCGGGGTCCTCTGGCGTCCCAAGCCAGCTCCCAACCAACGCACCACTCGGCCGGCCCTGTCTGTTGTAGCTTTAGTACTACAACACTACAGTTGTGCACAACAGAGACCCACAAGCTTAAAGGTTTATAACCTGGCATTTTAAGAAAAAGTTTGCCAACCCCTGCTCTTTATTTTTATATCAGTCTATCATAATTTTATAACTTCTTTTATTTTCAGTATTATAAACACTACAGTGAAACTTAGTTCATAAATTTTGGTCCACATTTTTATTACTTGTACTAGTATTCTAAGTGTACAGTTTATTAGATTGAAGAGTATTCAGTTTTTAAGGTGAAAAATAAATACCCATACTTTTAAAATTCTCATCATAGTGCCTATGGAAACCTTCTAGTCCCAACATGAATTCCTAAGAGTTAAGTATTTCTCTAGATTTTTTTCCTTTAACTCTTCAAACAAAATCAACTTTTTAAAAAACTGAACGTGATTTTTATTTCTGCTATTCACCAGATAGTCTAGTGTGAGACCCTATGACTCATTCCCAGCCGGTGCGTTGTGAGTGAAAGTGATTTCTGGTTTAGAGCATTTAATTGTTGATCTGAGGCTTTAGAATCCTCATTTCCCTCTAGCATGGTGACTTGTTATTTGAGATTGTGATTGTGATTGA